CTAATATATATCCGATATACTATTATTATTAAAATAAATTATAATAACTTGAAATATTTTATAATTAAGAGAAAATTAAATAATTATTATAATTCCCAGATACCCGGTATCTGAAATGCCTCGCCAGATGCCAGATGCCTTCTAGGCACACGTGACGCGGCCGCCTCGCTAGGGAAGTATGCTTGGAATATACTAGAGATATTTAGAAGGCTAAGCCCCTTTAGGACTAGTATACTATAGGGTATATATATTCCCTTGCAGCCTCCTGTATTCTAGTTTTCCCTTCTTTAGTTTTGAGTCGTCTTTATAAGGGACCTTCTACCTTGCTTTCTAAGCCCTAAATACTATACTTATAATAATAATTAATAAATAAAATAAATAGAAAAGCTAGCTATTTTCGATTTTATTTTAGAATATTAGTCAAAATATAGTAATTTTACTAATAGGCTATTAAAGAAGCTAGATTTTATAGTAAATATAAATAAAAATATTTTATTATTTATATTTTATAATAAGCTATAATATATAGAACAGAAAGCTTTATAAATAATAGTAATATAATATTATACTATTTTTATAATATTATAATATAAGGCCTAAAAGAAAGAAAATAGGTATTTCTTAATTAGTAAAATATTAAAGAATTCCGAAAAGAAAATCTATTTTAGTAATAGAATAATACTAGAAATATTATTATTTGAATTTATTACTAGTATAACTAGTTATAAATAATATATATTACGGATTCTAGTTATATAAATAGCTAGATCCGAAATAGTATATAAAGAAAATAGAAAGATATTATTTGAATTATTATTATAATATTAAAGACTCGATTTATTAGTATAATACTAATAATATAAATAATTCTTAAAAGAAACCTTTATTAAAATTATTAAGACTTAGAAACTTAATATATCTGAGTTATTAAAATATTAAAATACTATTTATATATTAAATAAGCCGGCTCTTAAAAAAGAATTATTATAATCTAATTATAATAATTCTATAAATAAGTATTTTAGTATTAGTAAAATACTAGAGATTTTTTAAAAAAAGTACTTCTAGTAAAATATAAGAAAAAATATAAAAAGCTATATTAGAACTTGTTTTATATATTAATAAATTAAGATAAAAAAACATTTATTATATAATATATTTAGTTTATTTCTTATTTCCTCTAAGCTATAATAAGAAATTACTATAGACTTTATTATAGAACTATTTATTTCTAGATTTTATAATAAAATATATAATTCTATATTTATTATTATTAATAAATATATAAAAATAATATAATATATTTTAATTATTAAAGAAATCTCGGTTCCTGAACTAATAGAACTATTTATATATTATATTATTAAAGACTTTAATATATTTATAAATATAATCTTTAATAAAGAATGTATTTTTATAAGTAAGTTTTAATTAAGTCTATAATTTTATTTAAAGATTTAATAATAGCTAAATATAGTATTTTATTTATAAACTAATAGATAAATAAAGAATTTAAATTAAACTCTAAAATAATATTTAAAATACTATATTAGCTATTAGTAAAATAACTAAATAGTAAAGCTTATTTTTGTAGAATTTATATATAATAACTCTATATATTTAATAATAGAAATATTTCTATTTTATATATTATATGGATTTTATTCTAGTATTAAATTATATATTAAGAATAATATTTCAGAAAAAGAAATATTAGTAATATATAAAAGAATATAAAGAATTTAAATAAAATAGAAAGTATTAAAAAAGTAATAATAAAAAGTAATAAATATATAGAAAAAAATATATTAATAAGAAATTTAAAATATATAATAAAGTTATACTTTATATAAAAAACATTTAATAGCTATAATCTAATATAAAGTTAGTAAATAGATATCTCGTTTTTTTTAAAATTCTAAAAGTTATAGAAATATATAAATAGATATATTACTTGAAATTACTATTATTATATCGGATTTATAATATTTTCTATATTTTTCTTTTAGAACTATAATACTTATAAACTAGTATTATAATAGAACTAGAACTAGTTAAAATTAAGAGTAAAAAGAAATTTGAAATAGAATTTATTATAGCTTATAAATAAAATAAAAAATAAAAGAAATATCTTATTTATTAGAAAAACTATTTACTAGTAAATAATATATAAGAACTATTAAGTAATTTGGAGAATATAATTCAAGAATTATAAGAATATTTAGAAAAGAATAATATTATAATATTATTAGCTAAATAGAAATATAAAAAATAAATATTTTTATTAGGAAACTATTAAAAAACCATATATTTATTCTTGAAAAAACTATATAAAAATTATTAAAAACTCTAAAAACTCTAATTTTTATATTTTATAATTACTTTTTATTATTCTTATTTTCATTTTTATTAGAATTCTTTTAAGAAATAAAAAATAAATTAGCCTAGAAAACTATTAGCTATTAATAAAAAACGAGAGAAAAATAAGCTTATTTAATACTAAAGAATATTAATTATACTTTTAAGAGTACTTTATATTTATATTAAGCTAGTAAGAATTACTTAATCTATTTCTTAGATTATTAGAAAAATCTATTAGCTTTAAATAATAGCTTTAATATAAGAAATATATAAACTTTAATATAAAAAAAGAATAGTAATAGCCTTTTTTCTTTTAGGTAAAAGTTAGGCAAAATACTTATATATATCTATAGCTTAGAAAAGGTAATTTAACTATATTATATATATTTAAGGAACCTTAAATAATATTAGAATAGGAAATAAAAGAAGGAAATTATAATTTATAGAATTATATTTCTTGGTTTTAGAATAGTAATAATTATATATCAAGTAATTATTATTTTTAATATAAGTAAAGTCAGGAAATTTAGTAATATTCTTGAAATATTAAAGATAATAAGAGTAAATTAAGGCTATAGAAATATTAGCCAAATAGTTAGTAATAGGCTAACGAGTATTAAGAGAAGGATTTATCTTAATAAATAAAGAAATAGAAAAGAGAATTAGAAAAAAGCTTAAAGAAAACTTAAAAGAGTTTAAAAAAGGCTTAAAAAAGGCTTAGAAAAGAAAAATAAGAAATAAAAAAAAGCTGAATATAGTATTATAATTAAAAGAAAAGAAGATTAATTAATAAAATAAGAGAGGCCTTTTTATATTATTCTTTTCTTAAATAATAATTATAAATTCAGAACCGGTTTTATATTAGGAATATTTAGAAATTTCCAAAAAAGGAATTTATAAATAAATTAAAAGATTAAATTAACTTTTCTAAACTTTTAAGTCTATAAAATAATAATTTATTTATAAATAAAGACTAAATTGGGATTTATAAACTAATTAGGAAATTAAATAAATTTTATATCTAATAATATATATTATATTTATATTACTTTTATAAGAGGAAATTACTAAAGGCAATTTGCAAATTAACTAGATAGAATTAATAAATTCTATTTTTAATTCTATTATTTAATAGAATAATAGAATAATTATAGGAAGTTTTTAAAAGAAGCTAATAACTAGGAAAGTTTTAGAGAAATATTTATAAAGCTATTTATAGTTTTTTCAGGCCTTTTAAGAATAAGGGCCTAGTAAGAGAATTAATATAATAGATATATATAATAGTATATAAATAGATATTAGATATTATAGATCTAGTTTCCTATTTTAGGTAAAGTTTATAATCGGAATTATATAAATTATATAGGATTGCATTTCCTAATTAAATAAAGAACTTTATATATTTGGCTAAATATTAGGAAATATATAAAAAGATATTTCTAGCTTTAGAAAAGGTTATTAATTAGTTTTTTACTAGAATTAATTCTTGAAATTAATTATATTTAAAAGTATTATTCTATAGTTTATTTATCTTAATTATTTATATATTATTCTATTATTATATGCCTTATATAAATACTTAAATACTAAATACTAGATACTAAATACTTTTTCTAAATACTTTTTTTAAATACTTAAATACCAGATACTAGATATTAAATATTTTTTTTAAATACCTCTTTTAAATATCTTTCTTAAATACTTAAATACTAGATATTAGATATTAAATACTTCTTTTAAATATCTATAAATAGTATAATAATAGCCGCCGGCTAGCTATTTTTTAAACTAGCAAGCAAATTAAGCTTATATAGACCTTATATAAACCGGATCTCCTATTAGAACTTGAAATATTAATTATATACTAGTAAATATATTTCCTAGAATTAATAGTATAATTAGCTTTTAAATAGCCTTTATATATAAAATATAAGGCAAATAGATATTTAAATATAGATAAGAAGCTTACAAGTATATATATAGTAGAATAGAATATTTCTAGTTAATTTCATTCAAAATTATATAATTAGATAAATTACCCTATATAATTCAATTCTATACTACTAATAATTAAAAAGCAGGGCAATTAAGGAATTATTAAGTACCCTTAATTACTTATATAATATAAGAGTTGCCCCAGAATAATATATAATCCTATTCTCTTATATCTTACAAGTTCTGGATACAAATATCTGTTAATTATTCGAACCCTCCCAAGGATTGCATAATTTTTTTTTTGGTATTCTCCACCAAATTTTTTTGGTATTCCCTACCAAAAATGCACCGGCTAATCAGAACAGCAGGAAAAAGCCATACTAGCGAGGTAGCGAATCAGAAGCCAGAGGTTATGTGACTTAACGAGCTATATGAAAGCTCAGGGCCTTTTTTCCACGTGCTGAGAACCCTTCAACTTTAAGCAAGCTTAAAGGTTGAAGGAATATCGCAGACTAGGTATCTTATCAATCACATGACGGGAATCAGCTGAACAGTCGAACATATCTACGAGCGCGATGTCCGAACTTGTCGCCCTTCGGGTCATAAACGGCATTTATTTCGATTGCCGATTTCTTAAAATTAAAACCTTACGGTACATTCTCTTCCTAAAGAAATCTTATCCTCCCATTGAATGCGAACCTATTTTACCAATTGCTGCGGAGATCATAGGGAAGAACATCATCTCCGGCAATCCTTTCTTGAATTTTCAATGACCCGCTACCCCGCCGAATGGCTTGGAGCTTCCCAGTGGCTGAGCCTCTTGTTGCCGCAAGGATCTCCATTATAACGGCTTGGTAATGCTTCAACAACGCTTCACGATCTATCTCCCACTTCGATATTTCGTTAGAGACAAACATTGGTTGTATATTTCGTGGTTCAAAAGAGCCCCTAAAGTGCTCAGCAAATATAAAGTACGGCGTTTGATTTACCCAGAGTCTCCGATATACCTCGTCCATGTCTATCGGCCGACGTGTCTCCTTAGCGCGCGTCTTCAAGTCAAAGATGGCCTTTTGTGGAATTCGGCGCCCTCTCATCTCGATGTGAAGTGGCCCGCCAGTAGATGAAGGTCCCCCGGAGACTCTCAGGTCCTCAAGCAAGGAGTAGTTATCTGCTTCGCTCGCCAGTGTTTCCTTCAATTCTGGAAGGTCCTCAGAAGTGTTTGCCATCGCGGCATCGTTAAGCTGAGCGTTACGGTCCACCGCCTGCTTCAAATAACCATCGCTTTCAGATCGCACCAGGAACTTCAACCCGCCAAAATCGTATTGTATAATGCGTTGATGGGAAGCTGAGCCCTTTACATCAGGTTCCCACATCGTATGCGCTTCAGGAAAAGAATGCCCGTATCCGCATACGCTAGGGATCAGAGCCGTAGGGGAGCTCTCCTTGCGTATGAAGAAAACTGTGTCTCCAATACGGTCAATATCAAAGCGGAAGTCTTTATCGATCCCTCCACAAAAGCGAAGAAGGTTCCCAAGAGTGCTTCCACAACCAATAATATCGAATGATGAGAGATTAGCGTCCGGGTGGATAGCTAAGAGTGCCCTGAATATAGGCTCGATTGGGTAGCTAGGCGATATTAGCTTGCTTGTAAGTATAGCTTCGACTTTCTCTTCGTACCGAGAGTATCTTGCAGCGTTCGGGTCTCTAAAGTACTCTCCAGAATCTTCATCGAGCCGCTTTGTGCTTAGTGACGGTGACCAAAGCGGTGGTGATCCTAAATATATCACCAGTATTAATTTTCTCCCTTTTGATTAACAAGGAATACATACCTGGTACCAGAATTGTAGGGTGTTTTGGATGATCAAACCAATTATATGACGTTAGATACTCACATCTCTCGATTTTTGGCGACGTCTCTGTATCCAGGAAGTTAGAGACGTTGATAACTTTTATCAACTTGCCAGAAGCCCAGTCCACCAATCTCGTCATATGCGACGGCTTATACTTATTATCAACTCCATCTCCAGCAGGCAAGAATAACTTCGCCGGTCTAGGTGCAAAGCTCTTAGCTAAATGCTCGTGCAAATACTTGCAGGTTTCCGCCGTATAATTACACTTCCCGTCATTAGCCCAAAACCAACAAGTTTTGGTTCGGCCTCTGGAATGGTTGCTGATTTCGGAGACAAAGGAACCGGGATAGGGGTGAGACGTGGAAGGAGAAGGCTGAGAGTGGAGGGGAGCGCCCCAGGTGGGTTTATTGACGGGTTCACATAGCTTGGTGGGCAGGAACGCATGGAGGTAGCGGCATTCTTCGGCGGTGAAGCGGCATTCTTTATTAGGGGTTGCCCAGAACCTGTCCAGAGTTAACGGGAATATCGTTGGTGGTGGCGGAGGTTACCAGCAAGTAGCTATTTTGACAGGCTTAAAGGGCTCTTTCGCTGGAGCACAAGAACGGGTTGGAAGCGCAGGAACAACTGCATTAGCGGCATATTCGACCTATTACCATAGGGTGAATCTGATCCAGAAGATCTTCCTTAGGAAGAGAGTCGTACCTTGTCATTCTCCATGTTGCCAAGATCCAATCTCATCGTGGGCGTAATCGCTTGCTGCTCGGTCGAACTCTGACTCTCGGGAACTTCATCCCATTCGGCGGCATTGATGCCCTCGAATCCATCCAATCCATCACAAATAGTCGAATTAGTCACACTGGCCATCGTCCTGCGATCAAGGCTGCCGCGTAACGTCAGACAAAAACGAAGGCTCCGGCAGATTCAACACCTCAATTCCCAACAAAGCAAACGGCTTTGTTTTACTGGCGCCTGTAGTCCCTGCAGTCCCTTATTTCAGAAGTTCGACGTGTAAGAATAGAAGAGTGGTATCGCTTCTGCAGACTCTTGAATTTCGGCAGGGAGTTCGTGGAATGCTCTGGAGAGAGTGATGAGTTAGGGCCGGACTTTTATTCGCAGCAGGGAGTTGGGGAATTACATCACCCATCCTTGAATAAGCCGTCTCTTCTACAGTTGACATATCAGATAATGCACGTAAATAAAGCAGAGTAGGGAGTTGCATTGGTAGTAAAAGAGTTGATTAAAGCTGGCTGGGAAAGAGCTCAGGTGAAGTGTGAGAACCCCAGAATATGGGTGTACAGAGCCTGACTAAGCAAAGCAATCGCGCTATGGCTAAATAAGAGATCTTATTGCAGTACACCTCCTAAGAAGGCACAACTATTATATTCTACTTATTCTATCTAATTAAAGAGCTTTAAATTACTAAAAATTGTCCGATATATTCATTTTAGAGAGCTATATTACTCTCTAAACTAAATAGGCTGTGAGGCACGTAATAGTAGGGTAATATACAAGTAGTTGAGGTAAGTAAGCTTTAGAGTGACGCTGCAAGTATAACTGATTTCCAAGAGTTAATTCTAATAAAAGACTAATTAATGCCCCTTTCCAAAGCTAGGAGCATCTTTTTATATATTCCCTAGTACTTAGCCTAGTATATAAAGCCTTTTACTTAATTAGGAAATGCAATCCCACGTAATCCAAATAATTCTAATACAAGCTTTATCCAAAATAGGAAACCAGATCTATAATATCTGATATCTGTTTATATGCTATTATATATACCTATTATATTAATTCTTTCTCTAGGCCCTTATCCTTAAGAAGCCTTGAAAAACTGCAAATAGCTTTATATATATCTCTTAAAACTTTCCCGGCCCTTGGTTCTCCCTAAAAACTCTATATATTTGCCCTATTATAGCGCCAGATAATGAATCTAAGGATATAATTTACTAAATCTGTCTAATTAACCCGCAAATTGCCTCTAATAATTTCCCTTTATAAAGGTAATATAAATATAATATATATTATTAAATATAAAGTTTATTTAATCTTTTAGTTAGTTTATAAATTCTATTTTAATCTCTATTTATAAATTAATTATTACTTTATTAGTTCAAGAAATTAGAAAAGTTAATTTAATCTTTTAATTTATTTATAAATTTAATTTTTAGAATTTTCTAGGCTTTTCTAATATAAAGCTAGTTCTGAATTTGTAATTATTATTATAAGAAAGAGTATTATAAAAAGGCTTCTTTTTCTTATTAATTAATTTTCTTTCTCTTAATTATAATACTATATCTAGTTCCTTCTTATACTTTTTCTTTTTCTTTCAAGCCTTATTTAAGCTTTCTTTAAGCTTTCTTTAAGCCTCTTCTAATATTTTCTTTTACTTTTTTATTTATTAAGATAAATTTATTTATTAGTATTTATTAGCCTATTATTAACTATTTAGCTAATACTTTTATAATATTAATTTGCTTTTATTATTTTTAATTTTTTAAGACTATTACTAATATTTCTAATTTTATTTATATTAAAAATAAAAAATATAGTTTTATAAGTTATAGTTTCTTCTTTTATTTCTTATTCTAATATTATTTAAAATTTCTTAAATATATATAATATAATTAAATTATCTTTTTTAAGCTATAAATATAGCTAAATATTTTTCTAATTCTTTATATATACTAAGTATTACGGTTATTATAATATATGGTACTAGTAAGAGTTAGACTAGAACTAGTAAGGCATCTGGTATCTGAGTAAGATATCTATAGTTACCTAATTACTATATATAACCCCGAGCTTAAGCTAGTATATAGGCTCGTATATAGCTTGTAATTATTTAGATCCGAAGCTTCTTCGAGATCCTCTTCTTTCTTTAACTTTAAATTATTAAAATAGAAATAGTCTAACTATATCTTTTAGGCCCTAGATCTTATACTTATAATATAATTTAAAGCTTATTTACTTCTTAATCCTATAGAGAATTTAAATAATACCTACCTAATTAGTTTTTAATAAGTATAGATATAATATATTATAGCTACTCTTATACTAGTTAACTAATATTAGAATAAAAGAAAGCCCTGGACTAGCCAGGAAAGTAAATAGACTAGTAACTTTATTACTAAATGAAAATCTATAAGAAAGCAAGTCCCGGAATAACTAGGTAAGTTAGAAAAAGCTATAGTACAAAATACTACTAGTATATTACTAGAAAATAAACCAGAGCCTCTTATTAAGTTTCCTAAAAAGTTCAAATATCTTATTAATACTTATAGTAAGAAAAATACTTTTTTTTAAAAAGCCGAGAAAGAAAAAGAACCTGCCCTATTAAAGGCAGACTTCTAAGAATTATTCCGGAGCCCAGAGGCTTTATATAAGGAGATTATTAAGCTAATTCTAAAAATATATAATATTCTTACTTATAGTAAGAATTATTATAATTAGCTAAAAGAAACTAAGCAAGCCTTATAAAAGAATAAAGCTATTATTAAGAAGCTTGTTATATAGCCTATAGAAATAACTAGTTCTCTTATTCTAGAAAATAAATACTTAGTTAAACTTCCTAATTTTCTTATTTTCAAAAACATAATTAAAAATAGTATTATCTTTAATAATTAGTTAATTCAGATTAAGAATAAGCTCTATAATAACTTTAATACTTACTAGATAAAGAACCTTAAGATTATTTATATTTCCGGCTATATAAGTAATTATATTCTTATACTAATTTCTCTTTACCTAAACTAGGATAATTAATATATATATAAGACTATTAGAGAACTATATACTTATCTAAAGAAACTATATAATAACCCGAATAAGAAGTATAATACTTAATAAGCCTTTAAGAAGCTATTTATAAAAAAGGGCCAGACTTTTTAGAAATTCTATATCTTATTCCTAAGATATATAATAGACGGAAATATTAATTTATAGGACCTTAAGAATAACCTAAATAATAAGCTTATCTGGAAGCTCTAAAAGACTATAGCTATATACTATAATAATCCGGCTATTTATATTATAAAGTTCATATAATATTATATTATAAATAACTAATAGATCCGAACTTATTATTAAAAAAAATTAAATATCCAAAAAAGCTAATAAAAATATAAATAAACCAAGCTCAGGAGATATCCCTTATATAAAGCCTGCTCCTAAAACCCTAGTAATAAATAAATCTATTATTTCGAAGCCCGGATTCTTAGATCTTAAATACTATAACTATAATAGATTTAGTTATATATTTAGGAATTATCTAAAGCCTAAAATAAAGTATATAAAGCAAGTTTTAGTAACTAAGCTAGTAATACTTATTATAAGTAAGCTATCTAAGAATATAGAATAGAGAAATAAAAACTTCTAAAGAAAGTCTTCTTTTTAGGGCTATATTATATAAATATAGTAGAAGTTAATTTGAGCTAGCTATTAGGAAATAAAGTATTTATATTCTTTTATATAATTAGTAATAATAAATTAGATATTAAGACTTCTTCTCTTATTAATACTAGAATAAATAAATATGCTTTTATTAATTTTAAGTTTATAAAAATAATTAAATAATTTCTAGATATTAAGCCTACTTAATTAGTATTACTTTATAATATAAAAGAATTTAATAATAAGTAAGCTATATTTATTATTTATTATATTAAGCTTATATTCTTAATTAATAAATAAAAGATCCTAGTACTTATATTAGTTATAGAATTAGATAAGTATAATATGATTTTAGGATAATAGTAATTTATAAATACTAGTATTCTAATTAATTATAAAAATAGAAAATTAATCTAGTTAGATAATTAGCCTAGAAAAAAGAAATAGAATAAAGTCCTAATTACTATATATAAGAACTTAGAATCTAGGAAAAGTAACTAGTACTAAAAAGATATAAATAAAAGAAATAAAGCTATAGCTATAAATAAGTCCTAGAGACCTTGGCTTATAAAAAGAAAACCTCCTTATTCTTTTTTTAAACCGGGTTTAGAAAGCTATATATAATAAAAAAATTAAGCTTAATATTATAGAGAAATACAAGTAGCCTTAAGAAATATAGAAGTTTTTCTTAAGCTAAAAATAGGAATATTAAAATTATATTATCTAAAGAAAAGCTATAAGATCTAGTTA